TCTATTGGTATGAGGCCTTTTGGGGAAGCCCAAAGCAAAGCCATGAGAGCTTATGCTCAACGTGGACAATATCATACCATACCATTGTAGAGATTCGTGATTCCTAACATAGTATCAGAGTCATGCCATTAATTTATTCATGTCAATAGAATCCTCAAGTGTCGAACAAAGAAGTTGTGAGCCTCGAAGATGTAGTCAAAAGTGACTCAAGTGTTGAACAAAGGGTGTACTTTGTTTAAGGACTCTAGAGAAGGAGTCGAGCCTCGATTAAGGGGAGGCTGTGTTCGAGGGCTCCATAGGCCTCAGGGGAGGTTCTATAGCGTACTTTGTTCGAGGGGAGGATTGTTGGGAGGGAGTCCCACATTGGCGAATTAGGGAATGATCATGGATTTATAAGTAAGAAATACATCTCCATTGGTATGAACCCTTTTGGGAAAGCCATAAACAAAGCTACGAGAGTTTATGCTCAAAGTGGACCATATCATACCATTGTAGAGAGTCGTTATTACTAACACACCTCTATGATTATATTCATTTTCTTAACAGCTTGAACGTTAGATATACGAAACAACTCTCAACTAAGTGGCCTTAATGTACCTGATGCAAGCTGGGTTCCTGTGACATGCACTCAAGATGTTCTTCATTTGATGAACATTGGCCACAGTAATCGAGCTATCGGTGCTACGGCGTTAAACGAACGAAGTAGTCGTTCACATAGGTAGAAGCTTTTCTCTTCTTGATTTAATCCTACAAAACTGGGCTCTGTCTAAATGTTTATGCATGATCTTGTTGTAGTGTTTTAATAGTTCATGCTCTTGGGAAAGATTTGGTGTCCGGATCCACCATTAGGGGGCGTCTTCATCTAGTTGATCTAGCTGGTAGTGAAAGAGTGGACAAATCTGAAGCTGTTGGTGACAGATTAAAGGAAGCACAACATATAAACAAATCCCTGTCTGCACTTGGAGATGTGATATCTGCTCTTGCACAAAAGAGTGCTCATATCCCTTACAGAAATAGCAAGCTTACTCAACTCCTTCAAGATTCTTTAGGTAACCTTTCTTTTTTTTGCCTTTTTCTTGGCTAGTTTATAATATGTGCTACATTTTCCTTGAAGAACAGGTGGACAAGCTAAGACATTGATGTTTGTACATATAAATTCCGAGGTCGATGCACTTGGAGAGACGATTAGCACGCTTAAGTTTGCTGAGAGAGTTGCCTCCATTGAATTAGGTGCAGCTCGTTGTAACAAAGAAAACAGTCAAATCCGAGAGCTTAAAGACGAGGTTAGTTCTGTATGCATTAGTGTTTACTCCATTGTGTACGAGAGTGTCCTACTAACCAAACTTTGTGCTTCATATTTTTGTTTAGATATCGAATCTTAAATCAGCTTTAGAGAGTAAGGATACAGAGCTTGAACAGCTAAAGGGTGGCAATGCTCGAGCTCTTGGACACAATCAGAAGCCAAGAACTGCCTCGCCCTTTCGTGTTCTAAGACATGGTACTAATGGAGGTGCTAAGCCTGAACATAGTCAACGGCCTCTGGATGATACTAAAACTTTGAAGGTAAGCAAATGTGTTCGATGATTCTTTTGTTAAAATATCATTACTAGTCCAATAGAGTCTAGACCAGTAATGGTACAAGCCTATTGTTTATTTATTTTAGGAAAATGATTTAAGTATTTTAGGAAAGATTTAGATATTTTAGGAATAAATTGTTTAGTCTCTACTATAAATACCCCTCCACCCTACCTTGGTTTTCATCCCAAGATATACAAAGCACGTGGACACCCCTAGGCTCTGCTCTTGCTTGCTTTCATGTACACGTCTTACCTATTGCGTAAGGGAGAAAAAGACTGAATGTGTGAAGTGGGAGGTTAGAAGGGAACTTCTCCCCTTGTCTGTCATCTGCGATCAATGTACTCAATTTATCTTGATTTGGGCAGTCACGGGCTTTTTGAGGTCCTCCACAAATGGAACAACCACAACCCTTCTTTGTTAGGTTTACTAGGTTAGAGTGTAGTAGTTTCTACAGAGTGTTTCTCGATTGGTCTTAATAAAGAGTGCGAGTGTTTCCCACAAAGAGTTGTGTTCAACAATCTAGTATCAGAGCTAGACACCGAGCGGTGTGCCAGCGAGGACTCTGGGCCCCCAAGGGTGGTGGATTGTGAGATCCCACATTGGTTTGAGAGGGGAACAAACGTGGAAACCTCTATCCCTAGTAGACGTGTTTTAAAACTTTTTTGGGAAGCCCAAAGCAAAGCCATGAGAGCTTATGCTCAAAGTGGATAATATCATACCATCGTGGAGAGTCGTGATTTCTAACACTTGGCTATTTCTAAAACCAAGACAAAACTAATCTCTTTTGTTATATGTTTTGACAACATTTTGATGATATCAGGCTAGAAGCTGCTCTTCAGGAAAGCAAAGAAGGTCAAGATTTCCCTCAACATTCACAGAGAAAGATGCAATAAAAATGAGATTGTTAGGTGAAGAGAAATCAACAACAAGTTCAAGCTCTGGAAATCCAAGGTCACCATCTCCACCAGTTAGGAGATCAATATCAACAGATAGAGGTGCCCTTTTAAGAAACAAGGTTAAGAAAGAGACGAACGAGAACCAACCAATAGCAAAGCCTACATCATTTCTTGATATCCAAAAAGTAATGGGCTCAACAAAGAAGAAACAACTAGTTTGCCAAGAAAAAAATGAGCAAGATTCAAGAAAGAGTGACTTCTCTGAGATGGAGAATGACCAGTTTCTTGGGGGAATGCCTCTTGGTGGTGCTTTGAAGGTGAAAAAAGCTTGTCACAACTTCCCGAGGAACTCTCAGAATCTGGACCCACCAAGGTAAACTTAGTTACAACGTTACTTTTGATTCCATGTTAAATTAAATCTAAAAGTTTAATGGAGATCCCACATCAGTAGGGGAGAACGAAACACCCTTTATAAGGGTGTGGAAACCTCTCCCGTGTTTTAAAAACTTTGAGGAGAACCCCGAAGGGAAAAGTCCAAAGAGGACAATATCTGTTAGCAGTGGGCTTGAGCCATAATAAATTTAATTATATCAACACTTTAATACTCCCCTCGTTAGCAGGCTTAGAAATCTATAAAAAGGCAAACAAATGGAAATCAATATTAGTTGAGAAGAAAATGACACTAGAGGAGCTTGAACACACATTCCATGCTTTACGATGTCAAAACATCACTAAACCTAAAATCTTTAAGTGAATAGGTTATGGTTGTTTTAGTTTTAACAATACTTTTAACGATGTAGATTAGGGTAAAGATCTTAGGCTTAGCAAGGGTTTAACTAGCAAGGATTGTTAGGAATCACGGACCTCCACAATGGTATGATAATGTTTACTTTGAGCATACGCTTTCATAGCTTTGCTTTTGCTTTCCCCAAAAGACCTCTTAGCAATAGAGATGTATTCTTACTTATAAATCTATGATCATTCCCTTAATTAGCGAATGTAAGACTCCCTCCCAACCATTCTCAACAATCCTCCCTTCGAACAAAGTACACCATAGAGCCTCTCCTGGAGGTCTATGAAGCCTTCGAACAACCTCCCCTTAATTGAGACTCGATTCCTTCTCTGGAGCCCTCGAACAAAGTACACCCTTTGTTCGACACTTGAGTCACTTTTGACTACACCTTCAAGACTCACAACTTTTTTGTTTGACACTGAGAATTCTATTGATATGGCTAAGTTAAGGGCATGACTTTAATATCATTTGTAACAGCCCAAACCCACTACTAGTAGATATTGTCATTTTTGAACTTTTCCTTTCGGGATTCCCCTCAAGGTTTTTAAAACGCGTCTACTAGGGGAAGGTTATTAAAAAATTATCGTTCCTTTCTCTAACCAACGTGGGATCTCACAATGCATCCTCTTCGAGGCCCAACGTTCTTATTGACACTCGTTCCTCTTTCTAATCGATGTGAGATCTCACAATCCACCACCATTCGGGGCCCAGCGTCCTCTCTGACATACCATTCTGTGTCTGGTTCTGATACCATGTTAGAAATCACGGAACTCTATAATGATATGATATTGTTCACTTTGAGCATAAATTCTCATGGCTTTTCTTTTGGTTTTCCAAAAGGCCTTATACCAATAACGATGTATTCATTATAAACCCCATCATTCCCTTAGTCAACGTGGGACGTCCAACCAACAATCCTCAACAAGGATTTTTAAGCCGAAGTAATGTATGAGCCTACGCCTAGAAGATATATAAATTAATTATTAAATTAACAGAGATTTTGCCCAAGAAATGATGTTCTCTCTATTTATTAACAGAGTTTTTGTGGTTTATTATGGAACAGAGTACAAGTTGGGGCTGTTGAAACTTTGCTAAGAACAAGTAGAGTTGAGAATGGGAGTCGCAATCAAAACAAAGTCAGCAATGGATCAATGCCTGAATTTGGAAGAAGCAGATCTACAACTCGCAGGAAATGAACACTGAAAATATATTTGTAGCTATATCTGATTTGATTGATTGATTGATTGATTTTTTTCTTCTTTTTTTTACGTTGTTATTCTTTGTATATCAATTATAATTCTAAAAAAATCTGGTTGAAATGGGGTGCTCTCTGGATGCTGGTGTGTTGGAGTTTGAGGGCTTTGAAATTTCCTTATCTTTACACACTTATTTTAAAACTCTAATGAATATTAATTAATTTTCCTTTGTATAGCCTTGATTTTTTTCGGTTTCAATTTAGGTTGGATTAAATATTTTAAAAAATAAAAATTTGGTTCGATTTTCTAATCGACATTTTTTTATCGGGTCATCCCGACCAATCCAAAAATAGGATTATAACCCAACACTATCATTTAAAAAAAAATGTTTGTAATCAATATTAGTAATGTATTATGACTTATAAATGTTTAATATTTGAATTTTACAAAATTTTAATGTAAGAGATATATTTACTAATTTCTCTCTCTCTCCACAGTTTCTGAGAAGCTCAGTCAATATGATAATGGAGATGAAACAATCAGAAAACAACACAGAAAAATGGTGCCTGCTGCTAATATTTTTGGTTTCTACATACACCAACATGTTATGCATCATTTCCAACAAAAAATAACTCAAATTAACATGGATCTCTCTAATCAGTAGAGAAATGTGCAGTGTGCCGAGCATAAGCCATATGACTGTCGAGATCACCTACCGAAACATCTCATTACCGACGACGTAAGAGCAGACGACAGAAACTTCATCCCAGTAGACCCGCCAGGAAAATAGGAAACAGCGTAGTATGCAAGTGCAAGAACCTGGAGTAACACCAAAACGTTTCAATTCGGACCTATACGAAATGGAACAGTAAATGCATTATGGGAATAAAATTTGGAAGAATGATGAAGATACCTGTAATACAGAGAAGAACACTGAGAGAACGTAGCTGTGAAGCCCCATGGAAACATATAAAGTGCCCAACATACTACCAATAAAGATGGCGGTAAAAGGAAGTCTCTGAATCATGAAGCCAAGGAACAAATCAGCTAAAATAATGGGAGGGTGGCGGTAAAAAATGTATTTACATTTAGGGAAAAGTTACCTCTTTAGAGAACATATGAGCAAGCTGATTCTGTGGACCCTTGAGTGCAAAGAAGGATCCAATGATGAAGCAGCAGCCAAGAGTAAAGCAGATGGCGAACTTTTGAGGCATAAGAACCATGACAGGGAGGAACATGGTGAACGCAATGAAGATAAAGAAAACCCCAGTTGCTAGAAACAAACCAAAATACATCAGGGCTTTTCCTGAGGGAACGTTACTAGTGGCCGACTGGAAGTTTCCGGGAAGTTCTCTCACTCCTTTCGAAACCCTATAGAAGGATTAAATCACGAAATAATCAGAAAATTATATGAATTAAACAAAGTGAAAGATGTGAATAAATGCCCTTTTTAGAGAAATGGTTGACGAGAGTTCCTCGAATGGTTTTATGAAAATCCTGAAATATCAGGCAAAAATGAGGTGTTGTAAAGGATACTATCATTGAACTTGGAAGTAGTCCTTTTGGAAGAAGCCCCAAGCTATCTTGGATGTGACATAGAATGTGAGATCACACATCGATTGGAGAAGGGGGAGAGGGGGTGGATTGTCAGATCCCCCGAACAAAACATTCTTTATAAGGGTGTGAAAACTTCTCCATAGTAGACGCGTTTTAAAAACCTTGAGAGGAAGTCTGAAAGGAAAAGCCCAAAGAGGACAATATCTACTAGTGGTGAACTTGGGCCATTACATAGAAGCTTGAAATGTTGATCAGACAGCCTTAATCTCGTTTAGTGCTTCTGCTGGTTTTGCTTTTCTTTGGAGCGAAACGAATCTAAAAGTCACGAAGGCTTTGAAGGTAAGGCTTTTATACACTACGAAATTTAAGCTCGCTGATAATTCTTATCTGTGAGCTCCTCAAGTGTTTATGGACCTGTTCTTTACCATGTGTAATACTCCAAGCTCACTGTTAGCAAATATTGTCCTCTTTAGGCTTTCCCTTTTGGGCTTCCCCTCCCCTCAAGGTTTTGAAATGCATCTACTAGAAAGAGACTTCCACTTATAAGGAATGCTGTGTTTCCCTCTCCAACGAAGGTGGGACCTCACACTATGACAGAAAGCATTTCTAATAGGAAATTGAGAATTTGGCTCAGCTCATTAGAAGTGCCTTCATCGGTTGGAAAACTTTCAATATCTATAGTTAAAGCACCGCGCATTCCCTTCCTTACATGATTTTTGGTGGAAGAGCTGCAATGCTCAAGGATGGCCAGGCTAGCCTTCCAGTTTACTCAGTAACTAAACACTCAGAAGACTCCACCAAGGAGATGAAAGGAGCGAGGACAAATGCACAGGGATTGTTTAATAAAAGCAGGGTCCTGTCTGCTTTTATTTTTGTAACATCCGCTTATCGACCGCTCGATTCACAAGAGTTACTACTAACATTGACAATTTACTCCGAAAATCAGTCATAAAACCAAAACATTTTCATATATAACATGTAAAACCAGTACTTTTTATAACTAAAAAATAACCAAAGTATGTTTTCAACCGTGAGAGCATAGGTACACAAAACAGACTCAGAAATGGATTCACTTTAGTTCCTAGCCCGCTGGTCGTCCTCGGTTGGCTTGTATCATCTATATCTAGAAAGAAAAGTTAAAATAATTTTGATGAGTAATTAATTTACTCAATAAAGAGCTAACTTGTCTTTCACAAATTTATTACTTGTCTTCCCGCTGTTTTTAAGTTTTATACATCATTAACTCCTACTTTCTCTTACTAGGATCATTTGTTCGTTAATAAGATATTTCAGCTACCTCTAGCTTAGGTTACTGATTCTGTATATGCTTATTTAAAATTTTTGGACTCATATGTAAGACTCACTCTCGATCAAATACGGCCCGTCTACTAATTTCTCTAGCGGCCTGTAACATCATATATACTGACGGTCAGGAATACTCATTGTTCCTAACTTAGCACAAAGGGCGTTGGTCAGGAACTCCGTGGGAATTAGTAGACTACAAATAATGCTCCAAATCTTTATAACAAATACCACAACAACTAACTTTAAATCATGACTTGGATAGTTGCATTCATAATCTTTCAACTGTCAAGAGGCATAAACAATAATTCTCCCGTTCTGATGTACGCAACCCAACCCATTTTTAGAGACATCCCTATAAATTACCAAATCTCCAGTACTACAATCAGGTACAATAAGCACTGGTGCTGATGCTCGTCTTTCCTTGAGTTCCTAAAAACTCCTCTCCCAAGCTCGACTCCAATCAAATGTCTTCCCTTTTCTAGTTAACTGAGTCAAAGGCGCTGTAATTTTTGCGAAGTCTTTAATAAATCGACTGTAATATCCTGCTAAACCCAGGAAACTTCTCACCTTAGTAACTGTAGTTGGTCGAGCCCAACCTATAACTGCCACCTTTGTTGGATCAACAACTATGTCATCCTTGGATACCACATGACCAAAGAATACCACCTTTTCACCCAAAACTCACATGTCGAGAATTTTGGCAAATAGTTTATGTTCCCGTATACCAGCAAGACTTTCATCTGTCTTGGAATAAATCAAGATATCATCAATGAACACAATCACAAAAAAATCCAGGAAATCTTGGAATACTCGATTCATCAGCCCCATAAACACAGCAGGGGCGTTAGTCAAACTAAAGGACATCACAACAAACTCATAGTGCCCATAACGAGTACGAAAAGCTGTCTTCAGTATGTCCTCTTCTTTGACTCTTATCTGATGATAACCAGAACAAAAATCAATGTTCAAAAATACTGTTACCCCTTGAAGCTGATCAAACAAGTCATCAATTCATGGGAACGGATACTCATTTTTAATTTTCATTTTGTTTAATTCTCTATAATCAATACAGAGACGTAGTGTACCGTCTTTCTTCTTCACATACAACACTGGAGCTTCCCACGGTGACACACTGTGTCGTATGAACCCCTGGTTCAACAACTCTTGTAGTTGCAGCTTCAATACTTTCAAGATTGTTCCTAACCTCGCACACATTTAGACAGATGAAAGTCTTGATGGTATTACGCGAAGATTAATTATTTGCAAATTCTCGAAATGTGAGTTTTGGCTTCAAACGGCGGTATTCCTTGGTCATGTGGTATCCAAGAATGACCTAGTTGTTGATCCAGCAAAGGTGGAGGCAATTATAGGTTGGGCTCGACCAACTACAGTTACTGAGGTGAGAAGTTTCCTGGGTTTAGCAGGATATTACAGGCAATTTATTAAAGACTTCGCAAAAATTGCAGCGCCTTTGACTCAGTTAACTAGAAAAGGGAAGACATTTGAGTGAAGTCGAACTTGTGAGAGGAGTTTTTAGGAATTCAAGTTAAGACTAGCATCAACACCCGTGCTTACTGTACCTAATAATAGTACTGGAAATCTAGTAATTTATAGTGATGTCCCTAAAAATGAGTTGGGTTGGTACATTAGAACGAGAGAGTTATTGCTTATGTCTCTTGACAATTGAAAGATTATGAATGCAACTATCCAAGTCATGATTTAGAGTTGGCTACTATAGTATTTGCTCTAAAGATTTGGATAAATTATATGTATGGTGAAAAGATACATGTATATGCAGATCACAAAAATCTCAAATATCTATTTACACAGAAGGAGCTAAATATGAGGCAGTGCCGATGGTTGGAGTTAGTGAAGGATCATGATATGCAGATCCTTCATCATCTTGGCAAAACTAATGTAGCAGTTGGTGCTTTGAGTCGTAAAACAACTCACTCATCTACAATGTTGATGAGGCAAACCAACATTCAGATGGAGTTTGAATGAGCTCAGATAGCTGTTTCAGTCAGGGAAACGACAGCTCAGTTAGCTTTTATGACTATCTGCCCGACATTGCAGCAACAAATTATTCAAGGTCACCAAAAGGACCCTTATTTTGCAAAAGTCATGGAGCAACTTGAGACTGAACGAGTCAGAAATTTCTTGATGACAGATGATGGATGTTTGAAGTGGCGGAATCGGACTTGTGTGCCTAACGATGTAAAGATCAAGAGGAAGATTCTATCTGAGGCACAGGAGTCACTCTATACTGTACATCCAGGTGTCACAAAGATGTATCAGGATTTGAAGACATGCTTTTGGTGGCCTGGAATGAGCTGTTGAACATTATAAATATGTGAATGCATGCCATAGATGTAAGCATGCTATATGTGTATATGTTGATAGAAAGGTTATGACTACAGGATATGCTTAGAGTTGTTGAGTCCTTAGCTATTTTTCTAAGTATTGTAGTATATTCATTCCTGCAGAGTTCCTGATTAACATGTTGTGTGCTAAGTTAGGAACAACGAGTATTCCTGACCGTTGGTATGTATAATGTTACAGGCTGCCAGAGAAATTAGTAGATGAGTCGTAATTGATTGAGAGTGAGTCTTACATACAAGTCCAAAAATTCTAAATAAGCATATAAAAAGTCAGTAACCTAAGCTAGAGGTAGCTGAAATACCTTATTAACGAACAAATGATCTTAGTGAAAGAAGTTAGGAATCAATGTTGAATAAAACTTAAAAACAATGAGAAAGATCAGTAATAAACTTGTGAATGACAAGTTAGCAACTTACCGAGTAAATTAATTACTCATCAAAATTATTTTAACTTTTCTTTCCAGGTATAGATGATGCAGGCCGACCGAGGACGAGACCAGCGGGCTAGAGACTATAGGGAATTCATTTCTAAGTCTGTTTTATGTATATGTGCTTTCTCTGTTGAAAACTAATATGATTATTTTTATTTTGTAAAAAGTACTGGATTTACATGTTTTACTTGTTACGTATGAAAATGTTTTGGTTTTTTATGACTGGTTTTCAAAGTAAATGGTCTATGTCAGTGGTAACTCCTATGAATCGAGTGTCGATGAGCAGGTGTTACATTTTATTTTCAATCTTTTACTTTTCCTAAAGATATGATTAATATCTGTCCAGGGTCATGTTCTTCAATATTATCTCTTGCTTAGCTCAATCTAATTTTAATTTCAATTCCAGAGTCTTCAAAGACTTCCAATATGTATTCAAAGGCAAGTTTTCTAAGCAAATCTTCTGCTTGAAAGAAAATCTCAAGCATCCTTGTAACCATCAATTTCTTCTATCAATACAATCTTTCGATCCTAATTCTCTTAATCCGCATTCGATAGACAGATTGTTTGAACTTCGAGAAATTGGTATCAAAGTCAAGTTATCAACAAAGTATCCATTCAATTTCTTCCTTCGATTTTGAGACTAGATCCTCCAATCAATCTCTTTGTTTTAAATTTATTGATACCATCACATTCTAGAAATTTCATCTTTTAGTTCTTAACAATTGTTGTTGGGTGTGTTTGCTCCTTTGTCACCAAGGGTTGTGAGTGGCCAAAAGATGATTCCAAACATCCTCTAACCATTTCTCCCTCCCCTAAAATGCTCTAGTTTCTCCTTAACTGGATATGGCCACATTAGATGGAAGAAAGTAACCTCCAACAGCAATTTATCTTTCTCTTGAAAGAGTAGGTAAATTAAGATCTTGTCAAACATAATACGACGCAACCTTAGCGACGCTAAAACAACTTGAGAAGACTTCAAAATCTTACTAGAATCAATCTAGCAAAATGGCACACCAATATGACATGATTATAATCTTTGAGGTCATCCCATCAAATGGTACACCATGAGGGTAAGAAACGACTAAGGATGGCCTCTGAATGAATACACGGTGTTAGTCCTACATCTAGATACCAACCAAGCAAAAAAAAATTATTTTCTTTTGAATTTGAACTTTCCCACATTTCACAAGAAAGAGGATGTGAAAGAGAGACTTGCAAGAAAAATGCATAATGAACCTCAACACCCCATGCCTAGGATTCAAAATCCAGATTTGGACCTAATGGTCCCAACATCCCCTACGACATGATCACATTACTTACTTCTCGCTCCTAAGAGTGAAGACTATCTCCACAAACCAATACATGTCATTTCAGCCTGTTTTTTCTTTACTCACATGCTTCCTCAGAAAATTCCTAGGAGGTCACCCAATATAGGATAGATCCAAGCAAAGCACGATTAACTTTGGAGTTCTTGTGATTTACCTACCAAAAAGGAAGACGCACTTTGTTGGTATAGGTAGTAACTTTCAATTCTTTTAAGTCATTCTAAGTCATCCTATCCTTAGGATCATTCACATTCAGATGTGTTCTCAGTTCATCTATGTATCCCTCCTTTACTCAGGTGTAACACGACCCATTGTCCAAATTGGTCGAGTGAACCATAAAAAAGAAACACAAATTGTGAAACTAACTAGCAGTTTCCCTTCTAGATGAAATGATAATAAAAGGATAACTCACTGAATGCAGATTATAAAACCAAGAAAAAGGAGCAAATCAGACTGCCATCAAGCCAATGGTCATGATATTCACAAAATCTAACTCAGATGTCATCCTCAACCCTGTGGTGAATAAAATTTAAAAACCTAGGCAAACAATAAGAAATAGCTTTCTAACAATTCCTGAAATTGCTATTACCAACAACTTCAGAATCTCACCCCTTCAAATGCTGCCCCATACATGTTAAAAAAGATCAAGTGCCACAAAGACTTCAAATCTAGAGGGAAGTGCCAAAATTGTTCACATTTAAATAAATTTGGTTTCTATTTCAAACTCTAGCAACCAAAACCAATGGTGACCACTTTATTTTCATTTCGATTTTGAAATTGTTTTAGTAAAAAAAAAATATTTTACTTCAATAGATTTCATTATGGTTCTCCCTCACATCTGTTCATGTCAAGTAATTGAGCCTTCTACAGGCAAACAAAGTCATCTTGTAAATTGGTTGGCCATTTCAATTTCCACAAATAAAGGGGGCTGTTGGAAAATCTACAGAGTAGAAATAAGGATTTTGTGTCAAAATGGATATGGAGTTTCCCAAAAGACAGATTTGTGGCATTACATGATAGCCACTCAGTAAGCCTGGTCTCACTCCTTCACGATCAACATTATCCCAAAAAAAAAAAAAAAAGCCTAAACATTCGAGGGGCTAACGTTAAAAATTGGAAAATGGAAAATTTTCTACATTTGCCCCTAAAGCTCTTAATGCTTACCATGAAGCCCTTAGAAAAATTCATTCTAGCCTCAAGGTTGCTTTAATCTAAGGATTTTCATGGTGCAAATGATTTTATAAACTTTGATAAAATCAGAATGAAAACCAAACTAGTAATAACAAAAGAGATCCAATTACATAACATAATAAAAAAACACAAGAAAAGGAGAACTTTGTTCTTTCCCATATGGAAGCCTTCAAAAAGACTGAACTCCTTTTAACCCAAAAATCTAAACAAGAATGGAAGGATCCAAAGACATTGAAATCAAGACCAAGGCAAATCAAGATTCCGAAGGTTAATGGTAAAACACTTCCCACAAATCCTCATACCCAGCCAACCAAATCATGTCATTTCACAACCTTAAGAGAGAATGTAACAGCCATAGCCAAGTACCAAAATTACAGTAAAAATATACAAAATTCAATACGACATACATCGCTAAGATGCATATAGGATCAGAGACTTACACGCTGAAAGTTCCTGAAACGGTTTCATTGGCAGACCTAACAGCACTTTCGAGATCGAATCCGATTCCCAAATTGGAGCTGCTATCCTCAGAAGCTTGTGATTCTGCGTACGAATTCCAATCAGCCAGCAACGAAGAGGACGATTTGAGTTGATTATCACTCCCACTATTACCCCCTTGCGTGAACCATCCCTGCGCCGCTTTCTGCATCGTTTTCTCAGCTCACAAACAGCCCTTTCCAAATCAAAACGAAAAATAATCGAAAAAAGTTGCAGATTTGCTTTTGATTTGGGAATTTGATATTGGATTGAGGAATCGATATCGGTGGGAGAACGCGACCGATTTTCGCTTGTTTTTCTCAAAGGCAGTAGTAAAGAAGAAGCAGATTCATTACAAAAGAACGTGTATTACAAAAATTGAAAATTTATTTTTCGAAAGAATATTTTAATTTTTTTTTAAATTTAAATATTACTAAAAGTTTTGAAAATATAGAATTTAAATATATTATAATTTCATAAAAATTTAATTATTATTTTAGTTCTTAACTTCCAAAATTTTATTTTGGTCTTTTACATGTATTTGAAAATTAAATTATTAATATTATTTAATTATTTTAGATAAATAGAAATATTAAATTTCATTAAAAGTGTAAATACTCGATTTACGGGGAAGAAAAAAAGGACAAAATTTGGCTAAAACCTTAAATCAACGGCGTCCTCTTCTCCTTCATTCCGATCTTCGGTCGCCGAATTGCCGACTTTGGCCAAGGGAAAGAATTTCAGAGATTCAATCCACCTGATCCCCCAACTTTCCAATCTCGGCTCGCTTAATTCATCATCACAATCCACTGAAGCCGTTCACCTTCTCTTTATTCTTGTAGCTATGGGAAGGAGAAGAGAGCGGCGCCTGGCAGCTCTCAGTAACGCCGGCCGCCGTGTCAAACTCGATCTTTTCGCCGAGCCCTCCGGTAGTTTTTCTTTCTTGGATTCTCCCCTTTATTTTATATGCATTTATGCAACTGGTTTGTGCTTGTGCGGATGTCGATATGTGTTTATTTGTTCATCTGGTTATTTGTAATCGAAGAAGATAATGTTGAGCTTTTGGTGGCTGTTTTTTATATCTCATCGATTTGGTCTTCTTTCTGTTTGGAGTTGATGCTTCTTCGGTTGCTTAGGGCTTGGGGCTTGTTTGATTGTCAAGTGAAGAAAACTTATGTTAGGAATCACGGATCTCCACAATGGTATGATTTTGTCCACTTTGAGCATAAGCTCTCATGGCTTTGCTTTGCGCTTCTCCAAAGGACCTCATCCATTGGAGATAGTATTCCTCGCTTATAAACCCATCATCTTCCACTAAATTAACCAATGTGGGACTCAATCCTCAACAATCCTCCCCTCGAACAAAGTACATTAATAAGCCTCCCCTGAGGCTTATGGAGCTCTCGAATAGCCTCCCCTTAATCGAGGCTCGACTCCTTTCTCTGGAGTCCTCGAACAAAGTACGTACACTCTTTGTTCAACACTTTAGTCACTTTTGACTACACCTTCGAGGCTCACAATTCTTTGTTCGATATTTAAAGTTTTTATTGACATGACTAAGTTTAGGGCAAGGCTCTGATACCAAATGATATGGAAAATGTGATGTCTCTAATCAAAGAAAAGAATTTCTATTTTTTTAGCTTTCTTGAGAGCTAAGATTTTCTTTGCAAATTCTTGTGTTTAGAACTTGCATGCTAGAGTCATTCAAGTGGTCTTGATCAAATCTCTTGTGGAGTCACGAGTTTAGAAACGAGTTTTCTTTACTCTTGATCTTGATCATTAAGGTAATGTGTTCCATCCTTTCCCTTGGGTTGATTCCATATCAACTTATATTTGGATATCTGTTATGCAGGTTTCTTCTTCTTTAAATGTTTACTTTTGACTATATCTGGTCTTCAATAAACATAAATGTCATGCATCTCAATAGTACTTTGTTTGGTTAGCATTTGAGACCAAAAAAAGTAGTCTAGATGATTGCTAAAATGGAAAGAGTATATATATATGAATGCATCGAAGAAGTTTAATTTAGTTGTTTTTGGCGTTTCATTGATTCAATCTGAAAAGGGTAAAATGAAAAGTATTTTTTGGTCGTTTCCTTGATACATGAACTTGGGTAGTATTGACACACTCATAGCAGCTGCTAGTGATTTTAGAGTTATGATTCTGGAGATCATTACTATTAGATGACTTGATTTTAATGGTGGATGTGTTATTCATTGTGTAGGAGATTTAGATGGCTCTGATGTACAAGAAGAAGTTGGAGGGGATATAGATTCAAGAGAGACGACCAAGTTACCGAAATCAGCATCCTCTTCAGGTGGGTTCTATCAGTGTTCTTCAAAAGGACTATGTAAAGGGGATATGAGTGCTTCACATTATAGTGGTGGATATTTCAAACTTTATGTACAAGACTTTGTATTCTATTCCCCAAGAACTTGTTTTCAGTCTTTAGGGTAACTGTGGTCTTTGGGACACCAATTATCAGATCAGGTCGGGGCCCTTGCCACAATGAACATGTGAATGACTCGATCATTATGCCATATTTGGTATCATCAAAGCATTTGGAGATTTCGACAGGGAAAATTTTTCATTGGTTCGTATGTCTCTGTCTTTAATTTTTGTTTTTATGCAACACTGACGTTTGTCCTTGGATGTGTAACAGGTGGATGTGATGAAAACATCTTCAATTTCTTGTTGAATTGAAATTTTAATGTTTCTAACACATTGATATTCATGAATTTTCCAGGGAATTCTTTGACGTGCTACTAAGACACGTGGTTTTGGATAGTATTTGATGTGAAAGTGTTTTCATTTTCAGGCCACCAAGCACAAAATCCCTTGCTGTTACTTGAGCAATATAGTGACGATGAAGTAGATGAGGACTTGGATACAAATTCAGATCATGATGGGCAAGATGCTTTGTTACCTGACCGAACTGATGAGGTATTTTTCTTTCTTTTATTGCGTGAATTGCATATCAGGCTTAGCACTTAATAAACTTGATTTAATTTTCTACATTCATTAATTTTAGGCATTGCTCTTGTATGAGTATATTTATTTGCGGCTCAATCCCCCTCCCATGAGAATTTATTAGTTCTGTGTGGAAACTTCTTCCTAGCAGACACATTTTAAAAATCTTGAGGGGAAACCCGAAATTGAAAGCCAAGGAGGACAAATATCTGCTAGCAGTGGACTTGAGCTGTTACAAATGGTATTAGAACCAGATACCGGGCGGTGTGCCAGCGAGGATGCTGAGCCCTTATTGGATTGTGAGATCCCACATTGGTTGGAGAGGAGAATGAAATAGAAAACTTCTTCCTAGCAGAAGCGTTTCAAAAATCTTGAGGGGAAACCCAAAAGTGAAAGCCCAAAGAGGACAATATCTGCTAGCAGTGGGCTTGGGCTGTTATTACATATTAATTGCTTATATGGTGAAAGTGCTATTTGATATGGTAATTGAAAAGAAATTTAGAAATTATGTAAACACAAGGTAAGTTGAAAATATTTTCGATGGCTACATCTTGAATATGGGTTTGATCCCAATTTGAAGATAACTTTTAAACACACGTAAGGTCATATGTTCTCCCAGATGAGCTTCACTATCTTCCTTTTTGTACATTTGACTTGCTCTTTTTCCTTGATGTAATGATTTTTGTGCGTGTTAACAAAGTTCACTTCTATTCTTAACAATATTCTGCTTCATTGATATCCTTGATTTCAGGTTTCTGCTGAGGGATGTGAGAAAATGGATGCAAAGGTCAGTGAAAATCTCATCACTCAAAAGGCGGTCCAAGAGGAATCAGAGCGGGATTCTGTTGAATTTTCTGAGAACCTAGAGAGCAAAGATGAAGGAAAAACTGATACTAATAACTTGGGATATTTAAGCAAGGAAACTGATTTGGTTCAAACATCTGTATCGGCTTCCTCTGATGTACAAGTCGGAGGGGATGTTATTTCAGGATGGAGGATTGTTATGCACGAGGAGAGCCATAATTATTATTATTGGAATGTTGAAACTGGGGAAACTTCATGGGAAGTACCTGATGTTGTTTTGGCTCAGGCTCAGCCTACTCAATCGACCACTGATATTAAAACTTCTCCTACACAATTTCCAGAGAACGTTACAGTCTTTAAACAAGAATCTTGCTTAGCTAATGGTGGGAAGTTAGATTTGTTTTCAGCAGAAAGCACAGGTGACTGTTTTGTTAATTTCAGTGTTTGAAAATTGTTTAAATATAGGCCTAAAGTGAATGATTAAATTGAAGGTTACAAGAATGGTGCTCCAGTATGTGCAAGTCAGGGTTCTGAGGTTGACCAAAGCTATGCTCTCTTCAGCACTTGTTCAAATGATGTGAATATAGCAAAAGCTGGTTCCGAGATCTATGTTGATTACACGATGACTCATGAAGAATCGAAGTCAGGGTTGGATCTTCCTTCGCATCTTCTGAACTGGAGTGCTAGCCTGTTAGAGAGATTGAAATCATTACAAAAGTAAGACTTGACCTGTTCACCTCAATTGAATATTGACTGAGTTGGAGGTGTAATATAAACATTACTGGCATTTCAAGGGTAAAATTTAGAATATGCCCTTTTTATGTTAGCATAGAGAAATGGACTTTTGGGTTTATGTTACGTTTTTGTACTAATGGCGGAAATATTAACTACAGGTCTGGGGGTCATGAATGGACATCAGAGTACATACAGGAAACTCAGATAAGACTCGAAGATTTGAAGTCGCTGATGCCCTATAAGACATCTTTGCTTCCATTCTGGGAACACTCAGCAGGGAAGCTTAAACAGATTGAAGATGACATTAACAAAGAAATTTATCAGACTGCTGCTGTATCGTCGCAATTGGGTGAAGCCAAGGCTACTGATAGTCCAAACATTGTAAGATCGAACGTTGGGTCTGAAGTCGAGAGAGTGGCTTGTGGTGGTTCTGCTTCGGAGCATTCTCATTTGCGTACTGATTCCGCTTTGACAATCCAAGGGGATCAAAGCCAATTAACTGTCATTGCAAATGGAGAGAATATTTCATCGTCTAATGCAATCGAACACTTTGGAAACACTACTGCTGTGATTGAGCAGGTAAGTGAAGTTGTAATTGACGAAATGGCTTCCAAGAGCGGTGTACATTCTGTGGAAGATGTTGACATGGAGGTAGATATGGAAGTTGAAGATGCGAGTTCTGCAGGTAACTTGATGGTGACTGGTACGTCAGATATGTCCGTTGCTAAGTCGTTTACTTCCTCTGAGCAACCGCTTCTGCCAGATCCACAAGCCCAGCCAAATCTTTCTTGTGGATATGAATCCATAGTGCCAGAGGATAGCTCTATGGTGCCACCACCACCAGAT